AGCTGTGTCACCCCAGAACTCGTTTGTTGAAGAGCTAAGCGCCAGGACCTCAGGAGGTGGCTGTGGTTGGAGAGAGGGTCTTTAAAAAGGTGAGTGAGGTTAAAGGAGCCAATCCGACTGGTGTCCTTACAAGAAGAGGAGAGAGGACCCAGACAGGCAGAGGGACAGCACATACAGACAGCCATCTGCCGGCGAGGACAGAGGCCTCGAGGCAGACCCCGCTGCCCCATCTCACTTCCAGCCGCCAGGACTGTGGGACATTTTTGCTGTGTAAGCCGCTGTCTGGGGCACTTAGTTAGGTAAGGACCCAGGACACAGATACAGAGGTTTCCTGCAAACTACGGGGACAGAGACAGGCTCTGGGGTGCAGTCATATCCTGGGGACCCCACCTCCAGAGGGGAAGGGATGGATGGGAAAAACCCTACCCTCCCTCCCACAGCCCCCCCAAAGCCCCCTCCCACCCTGACTGCCAGAGCTGGGGGGGGCGGGTGGGGGGGGGGGGCATAAACTGGCCAAAGGGAATCAGATCTGTCGGGAGGAGCTTAGCTCTTCTTAAAACTGGCGTCCTTTTTGTTTTCCAATCTCCTGGGGAAGTGGAACTAGATGAGCCAGGGGGGGATCAGCCGTCCCCCAGTCCCTGGCTGGCGTCCCCCAGTCCCTGGCTGGCGTCCCCCAGTCCCTGGCATTTGTCAGCCGACCTGCAGGCGCCTGTCCCAGAACAGCGAGTGCCCTGGGCTTCCCTCCGAGTTCCCGGCTCTGCCCAGGGGAGACCTTCCCAAACCTCGGCCACCAGAGTCAGGGTGGGGACACCTGGGGCGACTGAGAGCCACTTCCACTTTCCTTCACAGGAAATGGGGTCCCCGCCCCTGCTCTAAGGGGCAGCCTGCAGGGGCTCAAGGTCGCTCAACAGCTGGCCCCACTGCTGAGCTCCGGCCCTGCTCCCTCCACCCAGCCTCACCCTCCCACAGACCCTGCGGCGGGAGGTGGCTTGGAGGGAGACAAAGGGGCCTTCTCCCCTCCGTGGGCCAGTCGGCCTCGTGCTGCTGGGCCTGTGGGAGCCTTGAATGTTAACATAACTCAAAAAGCGCTTTGAGAGCGAAACCATGAGGCAACAATGTGCCGATTTAGAAAGCTCTAGGGAGCAGGAGGGGGGGGGGGAGGGCGCAGAGGGAGACGCAGCTGCAGTGGGAGGCCAGGGAGAGGGGTCACAGGGCCACGCGCCTTGAGGTCTCTTTGGGGAACAATGGGCACTAATTGTTAGTGTGGAGCCGAGGGGTGGGACTGGGAGAGGGTCAGGGAGCCAGCCTCGGCCAGGCCACCACGCGGGTCACTGCAGCTCTGGCCGAAGAAGCGGGGAGGGGCGCCCAAAGGAAGTTTTAAACACACCCCCTGCACCCCCTGCAGCCCTGGTTCTGGTGGGCACCCCGGATCTGTCCTGCGCTCGGGTGAGGATGGGCAGGTCTGAAGGGTGGCGCCTCCGCCGTCAGCCTGCGGTGGGTCCCGTGAACATGGCAGCGCAGCGCAAGAACTACCTGCGGCAGCAGCGCCCTCAGAACCGTCTGGAGGCAATAAAAAAGCCAGGTCCACGCCAGGAGCACCCTCACTCACAGGCTGCCTGCCGGGCCCCTCGCTGGGCCCCACCGCGGCCAGCTTCCAGTTAGAGAACTTAGCGGACCTTCCCCTTCAGGGTCACGTTTCCCCTTTTCTCTGATTAGAACTTCCCACTCCCCATACAGGCGTTCTGACCGTGAACTTGGGGTGCCCCAGACTCCTTCTTCCTCCAGAACGGCCAAGCAAACTCCAGAGGGTGGCGAGCACGTGGGCCGGAGGCACAGGTGGCCTGTCCCTGCCAGGGGTCATGCCCACGCCCGCGCCTGCTTCAGGGGGGCCAGAACCCTTCTGCTCCTCCATGGCGACATGAGGCACCTGCCCGCCTTTCCCTCAGGCTCACAGGACACGCGGGCCCGCGGGCTGAGGCCTGGCACAGTTGGGGCCCGGGCGTGCCGGTGGGGGGCCGGTGCCTTGACCAGCCAGACCCATTCCCGCTCCCTCAGGAGCAGCCCGCCTGGCGGGGCTGGAGGGCCTGACAGCTGCTTTAGAAAAGCAGGTCACCTTCAGCGGGGCCACAGGGATGGTCAGGCCAACGGGGCTGATCTTATGGGAAGGGAGCTGACCCCACACGCAGCCGCTGTGGCCCAAGCTTCTAGCACTTTTTTTTAAAAAATATATCTTTTATTGATTTCAGAGAGGAATGGAGTTGGGAGAGAGAGAAACATCAATGATAAGAGAGAATCATTGATTGGCTGCCTCCTGCATGCCCCACACTTGGGACCAAGCCCGCAACCTGGGCATGTGCCCTTGACCGGAATTGAACCCGGGACCCTTCAGTCCTCAGGCCAACACTCTATCCGTTGAGCCAAACTGGCCGGGGCCCAGCACTTTCTTAGGTGAGGACTGTAGCTGTTGGCCACAGACGCACATGCACATGAACGTACAACACAGGGCGGCTGTGTCAGGCTCCCTCAACAGAGCAGAGCGGGACTGGCTACAGGCCGTTCCCCGGACCCCGAGTCTTCTCACCCGACAACCAGGACATGCACTTCACAGGACTGTCCGTGACGCTGGGAGTCTGGGGGTAACAGGACATTTATCTCAACAAGACATTTATTCACGACAAAGGGAAACACAGTAACCGCAGGGGAGACCTGGCCGATAGCACCTTGGCCAAGCGATCAAAGGAGCGAGGCCAGGAAGGCAACAACCCAAGCCCCTGAGAGGAAGCAGAGAGGACGCTCCTGTGAGGCTCCTGCCAATAGTGCAGCCTCGGATCCGCCCGCGGCCCAGGCAGAGGGCCCTGCCACAGGAGAACGGTGATCCTCCAACAGCCAGCGCAGGAGACACCAAGACGGAGGAACTGTCCCCACAGAAGGAGGAGAGAGGCTGAGGGCTAAGCCCACACACAGGCCAAGCTTCCCTTTGCGACGGGGACATTATTACAGGACTGGAGTCTCAGTGAGGTCCGCAACCCAGCAGCACCGCCGGCTCCCCTCCTGCCCCTGGAGGCCTGTGCGGTCCTTTTTTTTTTTAAAAAATATGTATACTTTTTATTGATTTCAGAGAGGAAGGAGAGAGATAGAAACATCCATGATGAGAGAGACTCCTTGATGGGCTGCCTCCTGCACGCCCCACACTGGGGATCGAGCCCACAACCCAGGCATGTGCCCTGACCAGGAATCGAACCCTGACCTCCTGGCTCATAGGTCGACGCTCAACCACTGAGCCACACCAGCCGGGCCCTATGTGGTCCTTTGAGACTGTCCTTGTCTTCCGGAAACACACACTCAGGGGCATCAGGGCTGCGACTGACTTACTCTTAAATGTTTCCAGAGGGGGAAAAAAAAAAGGAATAACTGGAGAGGATAAAGGTGACATGCTAAAATGTTAATAATGGGGGAAATCCGGAAAGTTAAAAATATCTCATTGTCAAATTATACCTCCATTTAAAACGTTAGTGTCAAGGCCAAGAGACAAGATGGAACCGTAACAGGAGGACTGACCTTGGCGTTCTAACCCCGACCGCCCCCGACGTGGCTCGGGCAGATCGCATCAACCGTAACTGGAGGGTGACCGTCCTGTCCATTCCCTTGCTGGTGACCAGTGAGCTAAGGGCTGGGACAGCACTTTGCAAGTGCCCAGGAGCCAGTGCAGCTCGTATGAAACACAATTTCCCCGAGGATGAGACGGGCTAAGCTGCCCTCCTTCTCCAGCGAGGAAAAAACCACCTTTCTGCCAAGGAGCCATGTCAGTGCCATGGTGAGGCCCTCCGAGCAGGCGCTTTCTGGGAGGCTGTGTGGGCAGGACTCTCGCCAGCCGCCTATATACACGGCTGCACTGTTTTATACATGGCTATTTTCACTTAACATAGTATCATACCATTAAAATATATATATATATATATATATATATGTATATATATATTGATTTTAGAAAGAAGGGAGAGGGAAAGAAGAGATAGAAAGATCAATGATGAGAGCAAATCATTGATCAGCTGCCTCCTGCACGCCCCACACTGGGGATCGAGCCCGCAACACAGGCATGTGCCCTTGACCAGAATTGAACCCGGGATCCTTCAGTCCACGGGCTGATGCTCTATCCACTGAGCCAAACCGACTAAGGCTATCATACCATTAAAAAAAAAAAAAAAGGTGTACAGAGTTCACAGCCAGTACTGGCTATATAACATTCCAGGGGGGCTGTCGTCTGTAACTCACTGTTCCCTCTATTGTGGGCATTGAGATGGCTTTTGAATTCTGCCCGTGACAACAGCGTCTCACAAACCCCTGTGCACATACAGCTTTGCGTGCATTCGGGAATATCTCCTCAGACTAGGTCTCTATAAATAGGATTACCGGATCAAGAGGTATGAACCAAGTGCTTTCCGCATAGATTACTCCCAATTATATCACCAAGAACAATGTAGGAAAATACCAGTTCCGATGGCATTTAATACATCCCTATTCTGCCTGAGTATATTTTTCTTAATTCAATGAGGAAATGATACCTCAAATGTTATAATTTGCATTGTTTTGAGTACTAACTAATGAGGCTCAATTTCCCCTCATGTATTTACCAACCTTTATATTTTGTCTGAATGTGGCTTTTGTCCACTTAACAGGATGTTTGTCAGTTTAAAACTAATCAATTCATAAAAACTCTTTGTGGAATAGAGATAACAACCTTTGGTGTTGTCATATTCTAAAATAGTTTTCAAGGCCAGAAGGTTCGAAGTGGACTGACTGTGTTATCTGAAATGGTAACATGTGGTGACAGTCTAGCACAGTGGTTGGCAAACTGCGGCTCGCGAGCCACATGCGGCTCTTTGGCCCCTTGAGTGTGGCTCTTCCACAAAATACCATGTGCAGGCACGCACGTACAGTGCGAAGTTGACTTAAAATTTTAAGTAAAGTTTATTAAGTTAATTTTAGGGAACGTTGTGGAGTGAAAGAAGATGTAGTGTCGAGGATTGAGAAAGGTATGTTGAGATGGTTTGGACATATAGAGAGGATGAACGAAAGGAGATAGACGAAGCAAGTATACAAGATGAGCGTGGATGGGGGAGTTGGAAGGGGCCGACCTCAGCGAACGTACCTGAATCAGACTGAGGACGTCTTTAGCAAAGGCCAGCTTAGGAGCACCCTAATTAAGTGAATAACAATGTACCTACCTATATAGTTTAAGGTTAAAAAATTTGGCTCTCAAAAGAAATTTCAATCGTTGTACTGTTGATACTTGGCTCTGTTGACTAATGAGTTTGCCGATCACGGGTCTAGCAGATGTCCGAAGATGGCATTTCTCACACCAACAGGCACTTAAGCAACAACACACTGATGCTCCAAGAAGGACCAAGGAGAGTGCTTAGCGAGGTCATTAGCTCTCCAGTCTGGGAGGATCTGAGTCAATAGATGAACCTGTTAGACGGGTTTTCCCGCTTCTCTCAGTCTAGTAACCGCGAGTGCCCACGCCTCTGAGGGAGTCAATGTCCGAGTCCCTTTCTAGCTTGGACACAGGTATTTTCTCTCCTTTTTCTTTTAAGAAGCAGGTGGATCCCATTCAACAACTAGAAGAACAGGGTGCTCCTTTTTCACGGCCAGAAGGGGACACACTGACCTCCTAAACATCACAGGAAACCCCTAGAAGTGAAGAGAAAGAACTCCCCACTCAGGTTCCTTAGGAAAGCTGTCTTTTCTATAGGAACTGCAAGCTGTCTTTTCTATAGGAACTGCACCCGGTTTATCTTCATCACTTAAATATATATATATATTTCAATATTTTTTTTAAAAAGTGGGGAAAGAGAAGAGAGTCTTGCACAGAAAGCCTTGGGCACCTTCTCAAGTCCATGTGAACTCTGGTGTACACACTGCCCCACCCAACCAGCCGGCCAAGGCCTAGGCCTGTGAAATGGACACAGAGGCCGGGCGGGATGCTGCGAGGGGCGGAAAGACCACTTCCTGTGGTCCCTGCAGCATCCGGGCACCGTCTGAACGGCTTGCTGCAACTGGGACTGGAACAGCTGAGCAGCAGGACATCGCGTTTCCCCGGGAACCAGCTGGCCTCCAGCCAGCAGCTCTGAGAAGAGGTCAAGTGACTCTTGCAGTCTTGTGACCTCACTGCCGTGACCCCCAGGTGTCTCTGCTGAAGTGCTGACTCCCCGCGGCCGTTGGAAAGCACCCAAGCATTTAGCAGAGAGGGCCTATAATTAGGGCAGTAGTTGGGGCTCTTATCTGGGGAGGGAGGAGAGGAAATGCCCTGTAAGATTCCTGTCTGGGTTGAGGCAGGACAGCCCCAGGCGTCTAAACCTTCAGGTGACACCAGGGAGGGAGAGGCGACTTCCTCCCTCAGGTGAGGGGTCCGTGAGGAGACGCTTCCACGCCAGGGCAGGGCAAGGCTTTCCCCTTCCCTAGTCTCAGATATGCTGGCAGCCTGTGGCCCTCATCCAGGCCAGCCACTGCCACTGACCTCAACCTCAGAGTTGCTCAACTCTGCCAGTCAAGACCATCTAGGACAGAGATAACAACAGACAGGGGCCCGAGGTCTAGCGATGAGCCAAGAGAATAGAAAGAAGAGTCTTTTGTAAATGTTACAGCTGAGACACTGCATTTGACAGCGGGCTAGCGGGACCACAGCCTAGGAGTAGCTGGATGCACCACTCCTGTGGGTCAGGGTGCAGAGTGGTGACATGGGATTGGGAGCTGGCAGGCTCTGCCACCTGCGGCAGCCACCTCACCCATCTCCCAGCCTGGGATCCAGGCTTCCCCCCACGTGCAGCACAGGTGGTCAGAACGCCGTGAAGCAGGAGCCAAGGACCCAGAGTGGCCTCAGCTCTCCAGGTGCATCAGAGTTCGCAGGGCAAGCTCCAAGGGCGAGCGCTGGCCCTCCTCCCTGCAGGTGCTGAGCCCAGGCGCCCACCTGGTGGGGCCTCGGGTGGAGGCAAGCGAAAAGCGGATGCTCAGCACAGGTGCACCCACCTCTCAGACAAGCCTGACCCGTGTCCCGCCCCCCGCGGGCTGCCCGGGGGAGGAGCACACTGCCTGCTGGGCGCCCGGCCGGGATCTGACCAAGACGAGGGCGCCAGAAGGGCGCGAGGGCCACGGGGCGGCCACCCACCTGACGACGTGGAAAGCCAGGAGCAGGCGGCCGGCGCGGGGTCCGCGCGGGGTGCGGACGATGCTGAGGTACAGGTAGAGGGCGATGGCCACGGTCCAGAAGAAGGAGCTGGTGTTGGCGAAGGTGGAGAGCGCGCCCTGCAGCACGCAGTCCCACGAGGGGCCCGAGAAGTCCTGCAGGACCCCGTAGAAGTAGGAGGCGGCCGACAGCAGGTCGGCCAGCGACAGGAAGAGCAGCAGGCGCCGCGCTCGGCTGCGCAGGTCCGGCCACAGGGCGTGGGTGGCCACCAGCAGGCCCGAGCCCAGCGCGGACAGCACGCACGACAGCAGCACCACGGCCCGCTCCGACGGCACCAGCACCGTGGGCGGCGCGGGCGGCGGCATGGCCGGGCGGGGAGCGGGCCGAATGCGAGGGCGCCGCGAGGATCCAGGCCGCGCCGCCAGTGCGGCCACCGCCGCCGACTCTGCACCGACCCTGCCAGCGGCTCCAGTCCCGGCCCCTTGTCCTGCCCGGGCTGCTGGGCCCCGCCCCTAGTTTCCGCCCCTGTCCTCAAGCCACGCCCCCGCGTCCTTCGCAACCCGCCCCACGCCCCGCCCGCGGCTCCGGGCCCCGCCCCACGCCCCGCCCCTGAGTGCCAGCCCCGCCCACGTGCCCCACGAACAATTTCACACCACGCCCCTGCGCCCAAGTCCGGCGGGTGGTCGGGCTTCCAGACCTTGAGCCCCGCCCTCCTGAAAGGCTACCCCTGCGCTCCCCAGATGGCCAGGACATCTGGTCCTGGGAGCCAGGGACTTGCATTTTTAGGGCTAATATTACCTTCCTTCCTTCCAGCCAGCGTGTGTGTGTGTGTGTGTGTGTGTGTGTGTGTGTGTGTGTTGGGCGGGGGATGGAGGCATTCCTTCCACTGGTAACAAAAATACATTTACCATCCTCCTTCCCTAAGCAGGGTACAGAGTGTCCACAGGGTGTGGTGGCTACTCCCAGAAGGGGATGTGATAATTTTTCTTACAAGGAGCACACTATCTTTAAAAAATTAGTCATATTAGATGTAATTTTTAAAACAAAGAAGCCATTCCAATTTATTGTTTTTTTTCATAAATTCATATTTTTAATGGAGATATACCTTACCATAAAGTTGGCACTTTTAAGTGTACAACTCAGTAGTTTTTCGTATGTTCACAAGTTTGTGTGACCATCATCATTGTCTCATTTCACAACATATTCATCATCCCCACAAAAGAAACCCAGTTAGTGGCCACTGCCCACCTTCCTCTCCCCTTCTCCCTCCCCAGCTCTTGGCAACCACCAATCTACCCTCTGTGTCTATGGATTCGCCCATTCCAGGCAGCTCCCAGCGGTGGAATCAGACTTCCGTCCCTGGCCTCTTTCACGTAGCGTGCTTTCAAGGTCCATCCATGTTGTAGCACGTATTAGTGCTTTATTCCTTTTCATGGCCAAACAATATTCCCTCGTGTGGATAGACCACATTTGTTTTCCCATTCATCAGTAGATGGACATTTGGACACTTTTTAGCTGTTATAAATAATGCTGCTATGTACATTTACATATACGTTTTTGTGTGGACATATCTTTTCAGTTCTCTGGGAGTGAACTTGCTGGGTCATATGGTTACTCAATGTTGAACTTTGTGTGGCTGCACCATTTATATTACTACAGCAATGTATGAGGGTTCCAATTTCTTCACATTCTCCTAACACCTGACTACCTGCTTTTTTATTCCCGCCATCCTAGTGGGTGTAAAGTGGTGTTGCATTGTGGTTTTGATTTGAATTTCTCTAATAATGAAATGGAACACCTTTTCATATGCACATTGGTCATTTGCATATCCTCTGGAGAAATGCCCATTCAATTCCCTTGTCTATTTTTATTTTAAAATTTTTTTAAATATATTTTTATTGATTTCAGAGAGGAAGGGAGAGGGAGAGGGAAAGACAGAAGCATCAATGATGAGAGACACTCATTGATCTGTTGCCTGACTTCCACATGCCCCCCACTGGGGATCGAGCCATGTGCCCTGCCCGGGAATCTATCCGTGACCTCCGGGTTCAAAGGTTGAAGCTCAACCACTGAGCCATTTTGGCCAGGCTCCCTTGCCTATTTTTAAATTGAGTTTGTCTTTTTGTTATCGAGTCGAGTTGTAAGAGTTCTTTAGATATTCTGGATACTAGAAACTTATCAGATTAATTTACAAAATCTTTCTCCCATCCTGTGGGTTATGTTTTCACTTTCTTGGTAGTGCACTTTGACGTACAGAAGTTTTTATTTTGTCGATGTCCACATGACCTACTTCTTTTCTTTTGTTGCTGGGCTGTTGGTGTTATTTCTAAGAAACCATTGCCTCATCCAAGCTCGTGAAGATGTACAGCCAAGTTTTCTTTCTTGCCAGTACCACATGGTTTGGGTTCCTGTGACACTGTAGTGCGTTTTGAAATCAGGAACCAACATTGCTTTTCTTTCTCAGTATTGTTTTGGCCGTTTGGATCAATTTCAGGATCAGCACTTCCATTTCTGTGAATAGAGCCTGCTGGGATTCTGACAGGGGTTGTGTTGCATCTACGGATAAATTGGGGGAATAATGCTATCTTAATGGAGTTAAATCTTCTTACCCATGCACATGGGATGTCTTCCCACTTAATTAGGTCATCTTTAATTTCTTTCAATGATGTTTTTAGTTTTCCGTGTACACTAGATTTGATTTTGCATTTGAGTCAGAAAAGGCAGATTATCATGGGCATAGGTTATCTTTTTGTACCTAACTTTTAAAATCATTGATTATGAAATAAGCATACTGCAAAGTGCCTACCATACAACTGTATGATTTAATGAATAATTATGAAGCAAATACCCACCCAGCGCAAGAAATATTAATGTTACCAGAAGCCTTTCCCCAGACCTCTTTCTTCTTCCTCTCATTCTCTTGCTTTTTCTTTTAACCACTCATGTATGCATCCCTAAACAAAACAGTAGTTTGCCTGTCACTGAACTTCATATCAATGGAATCATACTCTTTGTTACCTTTTGCATCCTCTGTTTTTTGCTCAACATTATCATTGTGAGATTCATCCACGTTCTTGCATGAAGCTGCAGTTCACTCGTTTTCCCTGCTGTAACCATTGTGTAGTTTTCCATGAAATAAATAATATATTTATCCGTGGTACTGTTTTTAGATTTTGGGGCTGTTTCCGGGTTTGGGCTATTACAAGCCAATGCTGGAATGAGCATAGCTTCTTTCTTAATCAGGAAAGTAGTTACTAACAACAGTTCGCAGCGGTTTGAGCAAGTATTCGGGGACGTGGCCCGCAGAGGGCGGGGGGGCAGCTGCTTTCTTTCCAGTCACTTCGGGAGCTGCTGGCCTCCTCCCGAGAGGACCCCGGGCCACAGACGGGCCCCGGCTGTCAGTGAGGCCTCCCAGCCTTTACTGGTGTGGACAGTTTCAAGCGTGGATTGTGCAATGAGCCCTGGGCTTTGGAACATGGCTGGGCAGGAGCCTGGAGTGGACTCTCTCCCCAGATCATGGTCATCTGATCCTTAGGGTCCTGGGGGCAGGAAGGCCAGGAGAGGTCCCCTGGCAAGCTGCGCTGCGCAGACCAGCCTGACTGTACCTTCCCTGCCTTATTGAGATGAAAGCACTTCGTCCACCTCCCCAGTGAGAGGCCGGCTAGTAGCAGGCAGGTGTGGCCGGGAGATCGCCTGGTTTTCTTTGCCCTGGAAACAACATTCCAAGAACACCCCACCAGGGGAAAGTGGGAAAGATGTGGGATGATACAGCTTCGGGTCACTGAGCTCTAAGCTTGAAGCTGACTTTCCGAGGTCCGAGCTCACTGGTGCTTTTGGCTCCCAGCTTGTCACAGAGTCCTGGGCTCCGCTTCTCCCCTCCCACGGGTGCGGGTCCTCCAGGGCCTGGCCAAGAGCAGCAGCCCCAGAGAACCAGGCTCCCAGCTGCCTGCGACGGTGCCCACCCCCTGTGAGATGCTAGGTCCTCCTGGTCCCCTGTCTCCCCTGGTCCCCCCCCCCCCCTCGCCCAAGGGAACTAGCCAGGAACTCAGATGGCGTCTTATTTTGACCCTGAGTTGTTTCTCTAGCATCCATGCCAAGCCAGCTGGCGGCTGTCTTGCCGCTCCATGTCCCACGTCCAAAGGGGCCGGGTCCCAGGTCCCGACACACAGCGGCAGCCTCCCCAGCGCCCGTTATCTGGCCGCCGATCGAGGGCGCAGACCCAGAGAGGCCCCTCAGCCCCGGCTGGTGGCCCCAGGAGCAGATGGGCTTGTTGCTCTCTCCTCCCTCCCGGCCCCAGAAACTGGCCCAGAGCCCCCTCCTGACAGTGGCAACAGGGAGCCTCTAAATGGAAGGCGCCCTAGATGATCTCCTGAGCCGAACCCCAACCTGAGTAACAGGCCACGCCTGTGATTCCTTAAACCCCGAGCAGAAGAGGGGCCTTCCTTGTGGGCCTCTCATTTCCTAGTTAAAGGTGCGTATTGCTTGTCTTGCCCCTTCCCACCCAGGTACGGCGATGTGACAAGCAGTGGCCGTGGGAGAGGAGCCCAGCCCATGGGAGCCCCTCTCCATACTCCCCACCCCCACTTCCAGCAACCCCTGGGCATGCTCGTGTGACCTGGGGCCGCACAGGGGAAAGGCCAGGACAGGCCCGACCAGCCACATTCGGAAGCCAGGGCCTCCCCTTCAAGGCGCACCATCTGGGGGGTGTATTTCCCTACAAGAGAAGCCCTCAGGTCCTGGTGGGATGCCCTGAAACTCTCTTCCCTCACCCTGAGCCTTGCCCCTCCCCACCCCAAACTCAGAAGGCTTTGCCCCAGCTAGCTGTGCACCTGGGCCTGCTGCCCGCGGAAACCCTGGATTCGCTGTTCTGATGGGCATTGCACCAGCTCCGGGGGCGGCCACGGCACCATCATTCCCAGCCACCTGGGCCAACAAAGGCAGAGCTAAGGCACTAAAGGGAAGGCCGTTTTCCTTGGGGCCTCTCCTCGGAGACCCTCTGCAGGTGGGCCGGTTGAGGGGCGCTGCAGCCGGCAGGGCAGGTGCCTGTCATCCAGGGGAGGGCCAGGTCCCAGTGCACCTCTGTCCCGACCATGTCTGTCTGGTGGGCGGAATTCTATGGATCCGCCAACTCAAGATCCCGTTCCCGGCTTATTCAATCACACACTGAGCTGGGCACGGCGTGAGGGGATGTGACGGTGCAATTAAAGACCTGCTATAGATGGAAGGTGTGTGGATCCCCTTCCCCAAACCTGCTTGTCGAAGCCCTAGCCCTCGGTGTGATGGCATTAGGAGGCGGGGCCTTTGGATAGTGCTTGGGGCTAGAAGAGGTCACCCGATGGAGCCCTTGTGATGGGAGTGGTGCCTGAGCAAGAAGAGGAGGAAACACCAGCGTTCCCTCTCCCTCTGCCAGGGAGGGGGCAGCGAGAAGGGGGCCGTCTGA